GGCTGGCTGCACCCCTCCCCATGGTGGTGGACGGGGCCTGCCAGTCAGTGCATCAGTGGTCCCGCGCTTACTGCACAGGCTGGGGCAGGGGGTGGGAGAAAGGGGAGAAGGCTGGGCGGGGCGGGGGTGTCCACAGCGCCAAAGCCTGAACCAGGGGGTGGGCCCCCTCCCCCTCGTGTGGCGGGGGTGCCAGCTGGGGCAGCACAGGGGCAGTGCAGGGCTTGGCACCTGAGCCGCACAGCCTGCGCCAGCCTGCAGCCTCGGGCGGGGCCGGCCCTGCCCAGGTCAGCCCCGTGGAAGGAGCCACCCAGCCCCAAGGCCCCAGCACGGGGGCGGGCAGCCCAGGTGGCCACTGTCGAGGAAGTGTATGGGGAGAGCCGAGAGGGAGCCCTTTGCTCGCGGGGCACCACTCCAGGAGCTCATGCAGGGCGTGGGTCCGAGAGCAGAAGGTGGAGTTCTGGAAGCCCGAGGAGGAGGAGGAGGAGGAGAAAGAGGAGGAGGAGGGAGAGCGGGGAGGAGGAGGAGGAGGATGGGGAGGGAGAGGACTGAGGAGGAGACTTATGGAGAGGACCATGAGGAGGTGACTGAAAAGGAGATTGTGAGGAGGACTGTGAGGACGGTGAGGATTGAGGACTGTGAAGGGAGGAGGCTGTGAAGAGGCTGAGGAGTCTGAGGGGGAGGAGACTGAAGAGACTGAAGAGGACTGTGAGGAGACCGAGGAGGAGGACTGCGAGGAGGACTAAGGAGTGTGAGGAGACTGAGGAGGACTGAGGAGGAGTGTGAGGAGAACTGAGGAGGAGACTGTGAGGAGACTGCGGAGGACTGCGAGGAGGACCGAGTAGGAGACTGTGAGGAGGCTCAGGAGACTGAAGGAGGAGACTGTGAGGAGACTGAAGAGGCTGTGAGGAGACTGAGGAGACTGTGAGGAGACTGACGAGGCTGTAAGGAGACTGTGAGGAGACTGCGGAGGAGGAGACTGCGGGGAGGGGACTCTGGGGACGAGACTATGGGGGGAGGATTGTGAGGAGGACAGTGAGGAGGAGGTGGTGAAAGGGGATGTGAGGAGGAAGAACAGCAGGATTTTGAGGAGGACAGTGAGGATGAGGACAGAACTGGGGGGGGGGGTCCCCTGTTGGTAGTGTCATGGTAGGGGCTCACCCCCACCTCTTTGTGCGCCAAGACATCTTGTGTTGGGGGTCAGCGGGCCTACCAGGACCTCGGGCAGCAGGCGGCGACCAGCTGGGGTGGGGTGTGCTGGGGGCAGAGAGGCAGGCTTGTTTTGGGGGTGCTTCCCATTGCCATGTACAGTTACAGGATGGGGGTGTGTGTGCGAGACTTTCCACCAGGACTGGTCGCTGGGGCCCTCAGCTGAGGGGGACGCCACAACCGGCTGTCCCTCCCGCGAGGAAAGCTGCCGGGCCCCAGGGGAAGGTGCAGAGTTGTGGATGCGGGAAGGCCGCCTTTCTCTGCAGCCTCCCAGTGCTCCAGGGACCCTGCCCTGGGAGGGGGTGGGGCAGGCCGGAAGCGAGGGGCAGGAACTCGAGCCACTGTCTGCAGGGCTGTGTGCACTCCACGGGTGCCTGGGCGACACCAGGAAACGGTCAGTGGCCCAGAGAGCCGCATCACACACCGGAGCCCTGGGCTCTGGCTCCAACCCCTCCCCCACCCCACCCCCAGCCAGTCAAAAAAACTTTTTTTTTTTCTTTTTGGGTCATGCCCAGTGATGCACAGGGATTATTCCTGGCTCTGCACTCAGGAATTACTCCTGGCAGTGCTTGGGGGACCCTATGGGATGCTGGAAATCGAACCCGGGTCGGCCTCGTGAAATGCAAACGCCCTACCCACTGTGCTATCGCTCCAGCCCCAAGAAAAATATTTTTTGTATTCCGGTTCAAATACACCAAGCAGTGCTCAGGGCTCACTCCTGGCAGGGCCCCAGGGACCATGTAGGGTGCCGGGGATGGAACCAGGGTTGGCCCCATGCAAGGCCAGCACCTTTACCCCTCGTGCTATCCGTTTGGCCCCCGGTTTTTTCCTTCAGATACACTCTTCTGGGCTGCAGCGATAGCACAGCGGGTAGGGCGTTTGTCTTGCATACAGCTGACCTGGGTTCGAATCCCAGCATCCCATATGGTCCCCTGAGCACTGCCAGGAGTAATTCCTGAGTGCAGAGCCAGGAGGAACCCCTGTGCATCACCAGGTGCGACCCAAAAAGTAAAAAAAAAAAAAAAAAAAGATACGCTCTTGGTCCCACCCAGTCTTTGGGACTCAGGGCCCGGGGGAGGCGTCTGAAGGAAGGCAGGGGCGCCCCCGGAGGTCCCACCCAGGAACCAGGTGTCCCCCTGCTTTTCCGAGGTCCCGCAGTTCCTTCCGCGGGGCCAGGTGGGCCGTGCAAGATGGATTGTCCGCCTACGTGCTGAGGAAGGGCCACCGGTGAGCCCCCGCTGACCCCGGTCACCCCGCTGCCTCTGGCCAGTGGGCCGGGGAGAAAATCATTACTGGGAGGCTGGCCACTGGGGCAGGGCACGGCCCCCGGGGCACGGGGGAGGAGATTGCTTTGACCTCCGGTCGATAAGGCGAGCGGAGACTCAGAGGGCAGGCTGGCCGCTCCAGGAAGGTGGGGACCCCAGGTGGCGGGGATGCCCCCCGGATGTACGCTCCCAGTTTCTGGACTCTGGCCTTCAGGGGTGACCCTGCCTCGCCAGGCCGAAGGGCTGGGATCATTCCCCCCCCCCAACTTCTCACAGTGCCCGCTTCTCCATCTGTGAACTGGGGGTCACAGGCCAGAGCGGGGACCCCCCACTGCAAGTGAACCTCATCTTAAGGGATGTGTGTGTGTGTCAGGGGGGCGGTCCTGGGCTGAAGAGGACAAACGACTCAGCCAGGCTCTGCACGCACGAGGCCCGGGTTGGACCCCCGCTCTGCCAGGAGTGACCCCCTGTTTCCCGGCACCAAGCCTTGAACCCGGATGTGGGTAACCCTTCCCCGCCCAAATAAAAGCCCCAAGATGATGCGGGCTGTCTTGGCAGCAGCCCAGGAGGGGGGACTTGGCAGCCTTGGTTTCCCCTCCTGTGACTTGGGACCACCCTTCCACATGGGTGCGGCGGCGGGGGCTGGGGTGACATTGGGTCTGACTCGGCCGGGAGTTGGGGGACGACGCAGGGCGGGTCGGCGATAGCCACAGGCCCAGGACTGGGAAGGACACGGAGGGCCCCGCCTGGCCCAGGAGAGCTCAGGTGAGGGCATATTTGGGTGCTCCATCTCGGGAGTCATGCCCTCAGGCACAGATCAGCTCAGGGGGCTGGAGGGGCAGCACAGCAGTTGGGACCCTGCCTCGCATATAGCTGACCAGGGTTCGACCCCCTACCCCCACCCCGGTCTCCTGAGTCCCGCCAGGAGTGCTCCGTGAGCACAGCCAGCCAGGAGGAAGGATGGCGTCACCTCTTGCCTCCCCCGCAAACGTAGCATCCAGCCCAGCCGTCAGCCTGGGGGATGGGCATCGCCGAGGAGGGCGAAGGGAAACCTATTTGAGTTTGGTTTGGGGTTCTGAGGTCATTCCCTGCTCTCTGCTCAGAGGGCCACGTGGCGGCCAACAATCCGGGAGGACACACGAAGCCTTAACCCTGTACCTGGAGAGCGGTCCATCTTGCGGGGGAGGGGCATGCCAGGGGCACCCACAGGACCTTGCCTGGTGCTGGGGGTCGACCCTAAACCCCTCCCTGCCTCTCCTGACCCCCCCAGGCCTATGTCAACACTAGCGGGATGTTGGGGTTTGGGTCTTTCTGACGTTCGTTGCCTCGTTCAGCCAATGTTTGTCTGCCCCTCGGTTCACTCAGTGGATAAAGTCTGACTCTCTGTCATGCTGGGTGGGTCTGGCAGCGGCCAGCGAGACAGTTCTAATCTCGGGGTGCTGGCGATGTCCACAGGGGCGGGGGCCTGTGGGCACAGACCAAAGGCTGAGGCAGTGATCAGCAGTGTCGGTCGGTGAAGGGAAAGCGAGTCAGAGCTTGGACCGGGGTTGGGGGCACAGGGGACGGCCAGGAGGGCTGGCCTCAGAGCAGCAAGCGAGCGTGTGACATCTGGGCACAGCCCTGCGGAGAGTCCAAGTCAGGAAGGGCACAGGTGGCGGCTGGCAGAGCCGTGCAAAGGTCCTGAGGCCAGGGGTGTACTGTGTCTGCCAGGCTCAGGGGAGCAGGGACCGGCCAGCGGCCAGGGTCAGGGTCGAAGGGAATCTCCACTGGTAAGGCCTGAGCCACGAGGGCGTCTTTCTCCTCTCCCTTCCATCTGTTCCCGTCCCTCCTCTCCTCCCTCCCTCCTTCCCTCCCTCCACCCCTCCCCCGTCTCTTTCCCTTGGGTGTCCTGGGGATCATCTGGGTCACCCCAGCAGCGCTCAGGACTTCTAGGGATGTCCAAGACTTGTACTTAACTTGGGGAGTGAAACTTGGGGAGCCGATTTCAGGAATCGCATCTGAGTCAGCCACGTGCAGGGCCTGCCCCTGCCCCCCTGGACTCTCTCTTTCTCTCTCTCTCTCTGGTCCCCATGTGGGAACTTCCCCCCCCCCCAAGTGTCAGGGGACACTCCGGGCGCATGGCCACGGTGTCTGAGCAAGCGGCTGGAGAGGGCAGGGGGAGGGCAGGCTTGGGGAGGGACTGGGGAATGGAGAGCTGGGGGTGGGGCAGCCGGGGTGACCCCAGGTGGTGTGGTCAGACTAGAGGGACCCCAAGAACTTCCACGGGAGACACAGAGACAAGAGGGGCTTCTCCGAGGGGCGCAGATGTGGCGGGCTTGGCGTGGCCAGCATGCCGCCCGCCTGACCTCCCTCCATCTGCACCGGGGACCCCCCCCCCTTGCTCGCCCCCTCGGTGTGGACCCGGGTGCCTCCTGCCGCCCGCCACAGGTCAGAGCTGCAGGGAGGGTCCCTGCTGCTGTTGTGACGGGCAGGGGCGGCCCTGGCAGGGGGCGCCCAGGCCGGCTCACCCACGTCCCTGTCCCTGCCCAGGTGCTGGCGGCTGAGGAGAACGTGGACTTCCGCATCCACGTGGAGAACCAGACGCGGGCGCGGGACGATGTGAGCCGGAAGCAGCTGCGGCTGTACCAGCTCTACAGCCGGACCAGCGGGAAACACATCCAGGTGCTGGGCCGCAGGATCAGCGCCCGCGGCGAGGACGGGGACAAGTATGGTAGGTGCCCGCCGCGGCCCACCCCCCGGCTCCGGTCTGGGAAGGGCGGGTGGGGGTGCCCGGGAGCCTCGGGGCAATACTCTGCAGCTGTGTGTGTGGCGGCGGGCTGGGCTGGCGTCTGTGCGAGCGTGGGCGTAGGAGTGTGTCGTACGGGCAGGCGTGAGCCAGCGTTTCCGAATGGAGTGTGCGTGTGAGCACGTATCGCGCAAGTGTGATCGGGAGTGTGCCCGGACACGCGCGAGTGAGTCACGGGGGAGCGTGCGGGTGTGTCACGTGTGGGCGAACAGAATGTGCGTTGCGTATGTAAGTGTGAATGTGGGGGCATGGGTGTGGGAGTGTGTGTGGGAGCGTAGGAAGTGTGATGTGGGAGTGCGCGTCAGTTCTTAAACTGAGTGTGTGTGTGTGTGTGTGAGTGTGAAGGGCAATGTGCGAGTGTTAGTGTGTGTGTGTGAGCCGTGTGTGCCTGAGTGTATGCCGCAGTGATGCGTGTGTATCAGTGGATAAACAGTGCGTGTGCGAGTGTCTGAAGCGTGATGCGTGAATGTGTGTCGGTGTCTGAAATGAGGGTGTGTACGTGAGTGTATGAAGAGTGTGTGTTTGTGTATGAAACGTGTGTGGAAGTATATGAAGCGTGTGTGCGTGAGTGTAGATGAAGTGTCGTGTGTGAGTGTGTGTTAGTGTGTGTATGGAGTTTGTACATGAGTGTGTAAAATATCATGTGTGAGTTATGTGTTTGAGTGGGTGTATGAAATGTGATGTATGTGTGTATGCACTGAGTGTGTATGTGAGTGTCTGAAGTGTGACGTGTGTATCAGTGTATGAACTGAGTGTGTGTACGTGAGTGTACGAAGTGTGATGTCTGAATGTGTATCAGTGTATAACTGAGTGTGAGTGAAGTGTAACCTGTGAGTGTGTATCAGTGTACAAACTGAGTGTGTATGTGAGTGAAGTGTGACGTGGGAGTGCGTATCAGTGTATGAACTGAGTGTGTGTGAGTGTATGAAGTGTGATGTGTGTGTGTGTGAGTATGCGTGTGCGTGCGTGTGTTTGTGCTCTCTGCAGACTTGACCTCCTGCATCTGTGAGGCACCTTGCCCCACTGTGCCCTTGACCTGCCCTTGACCCCGGAGCTCCCCCCACTCCCCTCCGTCCTCCACTGGCAAGTGACCCCGACTCCCTCCCCCTCTCCCCAGCCCCCCTGCAGCCTGTAGCCCTCACAGTGGTGAGAGCCCCCAGCCCTCTGCCCACCGGCTCCTGCCTTGCGGGGTCCTGGGTGGGGTCCCGGGCCCCCCGACCCGCGGGGAAGCCACACGGTGTGTGCGGCCGCCTGCCCACTTGGCGGGGCCCGCCTGCCGGCGCCTTGAGCGACACAGTCGCCACTTGACAACAAGACAAATAATTTCTGGGACCCTTTATCTTGGCCCATTTGTTTCCCGCAGCCCGGGGGCAGGCCTGACCTCACGGTGGGCCCGAGCATGGCAGCTGCGCCGTCGCTGGGGGCCGGGCGCGGGGCTCCCGCTCGCCGCCCCGTCCAGCCGCCGCTCCCCTTCCCGGGCTGGGCCTCCTTCCCGGCACTGCCCCCGCCCGCTGGGGTCCGGCTCCCCAGGCCCGGACCCTGGCTGTGCCGGCTGCACAGGTGCGGCGTTTCCCTGGACCCACTGTCCAGTTGCTGTCAGGGAAGGGGCAGCTGGCCGGCCCGGGCGGGAGGGGGCGCCCTCCCGGAGGCCCCCAGAGCACTGGCCGGCCCCTCCGGGCTGGGAGAGTACAGGGGGGTCAGACTGTGGTCTCGGCCATCTGTCCCGGCCGTGGGACAGAGGCGGGCACCCTGCGGGGTGCCGGGGGCTGGGGGAGGAGCCCCCGCATTCTCCCATCTCTCGCCTGGCCCCAGGCTCAGGGCGTCCGACCTTCTCTGGGCCTCTGTTTCTTTCTGTCCCATCCCAGGGCCGGCGCAGTGTGGGGGGCCACTTCCTGGGTGCGGGGTGTGGCATGGGAGCATGCCCACGGGGGCTGGAGGTCACTCCTGGTGGCTCTCTGGGGACCGCGCGTGCTGGGAAATGGAGCCCCCTGCCCGCTGCTCTGCCTCGAGGGTCCTGGCGGGGGAGGGGGCAGCAATCCAGGTGCAGATGGGGGGCCTGAGTCGGGGTCGCTCTGAGGTGCTTAGGGATGGAACCCCAGGCTGCTGCCTGCACCCAGCGCCCAGGCCCCGGTCCCCTGCAAGCCCAGGGTGATGACAACCCTGAGTCCAGCCCTTCGGGCCATGTCTTGCAGCTCCGTGAGGGCTGGTGTGGACGGGCCTTTCTCAGGGACACGCCGTCCTGCAGGCTGGCCACCGGCACTCTGCGGCCGTGTCACATTAGAAAGGCAGATGAAGCGGACGGGCCCATCTGGTGCCGGGAGGGGACAGGGGACAATGGCGCCCACACAGGCTTCCAATCGAGATAATCAATAGGAATATTATCGGAGGGTGATTTATGGGGCTGCATCAGGGCCCGCCCTGCCCATGGGGATGGGCGGGGGTGGGGACGGGAGCTTGGGTCAGGCAGGGCACGGGGGCTTGGCCCGTGCGGTCAGCCTGGGGCCTGCATCCCGCTTCAGCTAGCAGCCAAGGAGAAGTGGAGTCTGGAACCTTCCCAGAGGCCTGCATCTGCGTGTCCAGCCTGCCCAGGCCCCGGCCTCGGTGTGGGCTGGCCTGGGGATGCCCATGCTCTCTGAGTCCCCTGCCAGGCGGCAGTGGGCAGCCGCATGGCCTCTTCCCTGGGCATCCTGGCAGGCATCCTCCCGGGCGTCCCCGCTGTCTCCCAGAAATCACTCCTGGGGTGCTCGGGGGTGAGTTTCGGGTAGGACGAGCACTGCTAATCTAGGGGCCAGGCTCAGGGGACAGGCACCTGGGGGGCACCGGGGTGACATCAACTCCTGCCCCTTTTGTGCTGAAGGCAGCTGTCACCTTTTTCCAGTGTATGTGGCAGAGGAGTTGGGCCACACCCGACTGTGCTCAGGGCTCACTCCTGGTACGGGCTGGGGGGACCCTACGCGGTGCCAGTGCTTGAAGCAGGGTCAGGTGAAAACAGGGTGAGCGCCAGCCCCAGGCCCGGCGTGTGGCCCTGACAGCTGTCACCTGGAAGGAACAGCCCCAGCTATGCTAGGACCCCTGTCCCTGGCTCTGAGCTGCGAGCTGCCGTGGCAACCATGGGGATGACCCTCCAGCCCCAGAGGGAGAAGCCGGGTGGGGAGAGTGCTCAGCCCAGAGGCAGGGACCCACCCCTGGGTGGGCTTGGGGGAGAACCTGGGGTTGGGGTCCTCACTCGGGGTGGGCATGTCGGGGTGGAGGGGGGAGCCCTGCATGTAAAAAAAGCCTTGGGATTGGATATGCCCGCCAGTTCCCGTGAGAATAAAGGACTCTGTGTGTGAGTGTGTTTGTGAGCATGTATGAGTATGTGTGTATATGTGTGTGAGTGTATGTGTTTGTGAGAGTGTGAGTGTGTGTTTGTGAGCATGTGAGTGTGTAAGTATGTGTATGAGTGTGAGTGTGTGTGTGAGTGTGTGTGAGTGTGTATGAGTGTGTGAGTGTGAGTGTATATGTGAGTGTATGAGTGTTAGTATGTGTATGAGTGTGTGAGTGCCTGAGTGTGTGTATAAGTGTGTGTGAGTGTGTATGAGTGTGAGTGTGTATGAGTGTGAGTGTGTATAAGTGTATGTGAGTGCATGTGAGTATGTGTGAGTGTGTTTGCGAGTGTGTGAATGTGTATGAGTGTGTGTATAAGTGTATGTGAGTGAGTGTGTATGAGTGTGTATATGAGTGTGAGTGTATATGTGAGTGTTTATGAGTATTATGAGTGTGTTAGTATGTGTATGAGTGTGTGTAAGTGTGTGTGTGAGTGTGTGAGTGTGTATAAGTGTATGTGAGTGTGTGTGAGTATGTGTTCAGGCCACACAAGGTGGTGCTCAGGGCTTCCCCCTCACTCCGTGCTCAGGGATCACTCCCGGTGGGGCTCAGGACACAAGATGTAGTGCCGGACATGGACCCGGGTCAGCCGCTTGGAGGGCAAACGCTCTGTCCGCTGTCGGTCTCGTCTCTCGGGCCCTACTGCAGTCTCTTCCTGAGCGAGATCATTTCCCGGAGGCCCACCGCGGGCCTGATGACCTGAGGGGACGCGTGGGGACAGTGGAGGGGGCAGGGTTGCCGGCTGCCTCTCGTCCTCGGCAACTCACCTTACGGCTCCTGTTTCCACCAGCAGGCAGGGAGCCCAGCACGGCGGATTCCCACCCCGGGGACTGGTTCCGGGGCCTTCTAGAAGGGAATGTCCAGGACAGCCAAGGGGAGCTGCCGCTTCAGCACAGCACGGCCCCCCTGGAGCTGCAGGGCGGGGCGCAGGCAGGGGTGGGGGGCCGACCTCATCCCCCATCCAGTACTGCGCGAGGCCCCTGGCCCTCTCTCTGCCCTGGGCTTGTACCCCCTTTGAGAGGCCGGGTCCCCACTGTCCCCTGGTGCCAGGCTGTGCCATCTCTCTCCCCCAGGGTCGTCCCCCCACACTGCCAGGCTGCGGGGGCTGGTGCAGAGTGTGGGGTTCCTTCTCTGTCCTGGGATGTGGCCGGAAGCCCAGACACTGCCCTCCCCACCAGAACCTCGTACCCCCACTCCTCAGCGAGAATCCAGAACCTTCTTTGTGTCTCCCCCCCCCCACCTCCCAGCGCCCTACAGGCCACAGCAGGAACAGTTAGTGGGGGCTCAGCCCCACCCCCGGGGGCTGCGCGGACGCACAGGAGGGCCCCGTGGGGGCTTCTAGGGCCCTGCTGAGCCAGTGAGTAGGACAGGGGGCGCGCCGGGTCCCCCTTCCCCGTTTCTCTCACTCTGGGACCCATGGCAGGACCGTGGGGGAGAGGCAGGCCCCAGGGGCGGCTGGTTTAGTGGCCAGTGCCTTCTCCCTGGCCCGCACCAACCGGAACCGGCGGCTGTCCACCTCCCTTAGGGTCCGGCCCATGTCCTGGAACCCCCAGGCCTGGGGGGTGCTGCAGGGGAGGGGGCCTGGTGGGTCACACCCATCCGCATCATGGCCTTCCCGCGGGCCCACAGGAGAAACTCGGGGGAGCAGAGGGGGCCTGCGTAGATGTAGGCGTGTGCAGAGACGTGCGAGTGTGAACAGAGTATGCAGACACATGTGCATACACGTGAACGTGCATACGTGCATGTGTGTGTACACGCACGGGTGCTGTATGTGAGCACAGTAGGTGTGCATGTGCGTCTCCCCCTCCGCAGCTCTGCGCCGTCCGTGTCTCCGGTGACAAGGACATCCTGCGGGGGGAATGTCACGGGGACAGGTGCCAGGGTCCGTGCCAGCCAGCACAGAGGTGCCGGCAGCCGGCCATGCCGCAGAGGACTCGGGTGGGGGTGGACGGGCTCAGCCCTGCCTCCCGCGGCCACCTTGTCCCCGAATCTGGGGCGTCAGCACCCGGGCTCGGGGCGGGGACATTCTGTGCTGTGACTTTGCAGTAGCCTGGATTTCTGCGTGCCGTGTCTGTCTTGAGCTCTCTCCTTCCCTCTCTGTCCCTGTGTCCTCCAAACCCAGCGTGTCCCAAGTGAGGGCTCGGGACCGCCCCCCCCCCCGGGGAGGGTCTGGCTGAGGGACTGTGTCAGGAGTCTGGACGGGCTCCGGGCCTCACTTTCTCCATCTGCGCAATGGGCGCAGAAGCCCTGCCCTGGCGAGTGGCGAGACCGGCGGGGACAGAGATGCCTGGGCTGGCCTCGCTGGTCTACGTGACCTTGGGGCTCGCTCTCGTCCCACCCGCCGGCCGGCCGGGGCTTCTGACCCCGGGGGTGTGATGTCAGTGAGCAGTGAGTAAGCGCTGACGTCACGGCTGGCAGGCCAGAAGCTCCGCATCAGCAGTTTGGGGTTGGAGACACACCCGGCCGTGCGCAGGGCCTCCTGCTGGCTCCGGGCTGGGGATGACTCCTTGGCGGGCCCATGGGTGCCGGGAAGGACGCCGGGCCGGCCATGTGCGAGGCCCCGCTGGGCTGGGGCTCAGGCCCCTCATCGGGGTTTCCCAGCCAGGCCCCGTCTGGCCCTCGGGGGTTCCTGGTGTCCCCTGGCCCTTCCTCCCCTCCCCACCTCTTACCCCTCCTCCCTGGGCTGGGGATGCGGTTCCTGGGATGAGTGTCCTCTGCTCTGAGCTTCTGGACCGGTCCCTCAGTGCTGTGCTTTGGGGGATGGTGCAGGGTGGGGAGGTCGCCGGACACTCTCGCCTCTCCAGGCGGGACTCTGGGGGACCTTGTCCTCTCCTCCAGGGCAAGCTCTGGGCACCGGGCAGGGGATGCCAAGGCCCTGGGGTCGTGCGGGGCTGTGGTGCGGGCGGCCAGAGCACGTGCGCCTTTGAGAAGCTGAGCAGAGTGGGGTGGGAGTGGTCGGGGGGCCCCAGAGGTGGCCCCGGGGAGGGGCACTGTGGCCGATGTGGCTGGAGAGGAGCACCCCCGCCTCTCCCATCCTGGACTGCGCTCACCTGGGGGGCACTGGGGAAGGGCGGGCGGGCACCGAGAGCCCAAAGGGGCTGCCATTGCGAGTCACACCACAGACTCCCCCTGGGGGGCACGGGGCGATATCGAGGGGTGGGTAGGTTCTGGGGCCGATGTGATCTTGAAAGTGGGGTCCTTCTCCTTCCCTTCCTTGTCTCTACCCCTCTCTCTTTCCCTCTCCCTCTTTCCTTCTTTCCCTCTCTCTCTCCCTCTTTCTTTTCCTCTCCCTCTCTCCCTCACTCTACCTCTCTCTCTCTTCCTATCTCTCCCTCTTGTCTCTCCCTCTCTCTCCATCTCCCTCCCTCTTTCTCTCTCCCTCCCTCTCTCTTCTCTCCTTCTCTCTCCTCTCTTCTCTCCTCCCTCTTCTCTTTCCTTTCTCTCCTTTCTCTCTCTCCCCCTCTGTCCTTCCTTTTCCCCCTCTCTCTCCTTTCTCTCCGTCTCCCTCTCTGCTGCTCTGAGCCCCCAGACTCCCTGCCCTCTGTGGCTTCCCATGCTGCTGCGTCCGTCCACGGGTCTAACGCACACTGACCCGGCCAGGGGCTGCCCCTTTCCTCGCGTGTGCAGGGCAGGGCAGCGGGGACTATGGGCCACTTGGGGACTCCCCAAGGCCTCCTGTGCTCTGGGCCCTTCTCTTGGCGTGTGGCAGGTGTGTGTGTGTGTGTGTGTGTGTGTGTGTGTGTGTGTGTGTGTGTGTGTTGGGGGGGTCCCTGTAGCCTCCTGGGAGCCCCAGGGCCTACTCTGTGAAACGGGGACAGGCTGGGGCTGTCACTCAGCATATGAGCAATCACCTGGGATGCCTGAGTCCCCAAACTGATCCCCAGTGAAGGGGAGCAGACACACAAAGGTTGCCAAGTTTGTGGGCGATGTGAGACCCAGTGGGCTCACGGGGGGGGGCGCAGAAACCCAGTCCTGGGGGTCCGAGCCAAAGCACAGCGGGGAGGGCACTTGCCTTGCACATGGCCTACTGGGGTCCATCCCAGCACCCTACAGGGTCCCCTGAGCCCCGCCGGGAGTGATTCCTGAGCCTGCTGTGTGTGGCCCAGTGCTGGGGACCCTTCACGTTCATCTGGGGCTCCCTGGGTCATGGTGTCGAGGCTTCATCCCCATGACGAAACCCTCCTGGCCCCCAACCCCAGGAAGAGTCTGAAGCAGGCTGTCCCTGCCCTCCATCTAGCGCCGGCAGGAAATGGAGGCCCTCAGAGGGAAACTGAGGCGGCGGGGAGTGGCTTGTGCAGGATGGCCATGCCAGAAATGGGTCCAGCATCCCCGCACCCCATCCCAGGGGGCTTTCAGTGCCTGAAGGCATTCCTGGGACCCCAAAGGTGCTGCAGGTCTGGGGGGTGGGGGGCACATGGGGGCATCTCGGCCCTTGGCACACATTGCCCTGTCTTTGGTGCCCAGCCCCCGGCCTCCCCCCTGCATGGTGCTCATCTTGTCCCTCCTCATTCTGAGGGAGGGGGACTCGCCCCACGGAGCTCAGAGCAGGCCCACAATGTGCCCCCAGCCTGGTCCCTCCACCCCACCCTCCCTTCCTCCCCCCAGCTCCAGGGGACTCATGGACCCTGGGGTGGGGGTGGGCGGGACCTGGTGAGAAGCCCCCCAAAGCCATTCCGACTCTGGAGACTTTGAATTACAGTGGAAGGGGGCGGGGGGTGCGAGGGCCTGCCCCCACTCCTCCGTGTGTGCGTGTGCGTGTGTGTGTGTGTGAGTGTGTGTGTGTTCATTAATATGCTGACCCCCTGTTTACTGGGGCTGGGGGAGGCGGGAGAGGAATGTGCCGCCCGCTGTCTAGGATTACTGGGGTCTCGTTAGAACCTTAACATGGATGTAAATTCTTCTTTTTCTCCTTGGAAGGGTGGGTATCATATTTTAATTAGTAGTGGTGTCAGAGGCGGGCTAAATTAATTATTGGGAAGCCTGCGTGCCACATGGTTTTAATTTTCACAGCAGGATACAGGGTCTATATTAAAATTTTTTTATTATTATTAAAATCATACTTTGGTCCTTTAGGGGCACCAAGGTAAACTCTGCTCCAAAGATGCCCTGCTTTTATGACTGTGATTTTTGGGGGCTTGTTATGGACCAACAAGTCCCTTGTCACTGCAATTACAGTCTGGGGGGCGGGGAAGAAGGGGCAGGTGTGGGGAAGTGAAAGGGTCAGGGGGAGGAGGGAGGGGGAAAGGGGGAAGGGGCGGGTGGGAACCAGAGATGCGAGCACAGAGAGGGTACTGGGCCTCTCTCAGTCACGCAGCACTCTCTGGGGAGGAATGGTGGCTGAGGAGGGTGTGGGTCTGGACACTGCGTGCGTGGTCAGGGGACAGTCCCCTGTAGCTGCCCTTGTTCATGCAGAGCTTTGGGGACCAGCCCTGGACAGCCCCCTTCCTAGAGAGCCTGATTCTCCTGCCCTGGAACAGAGCCGCTGGGTGCCAGGGCTCGGGGGCAGGGGGGCTGGAATGGGGGTGGGTGCTTGGAGCATGACCTTCCCGAGGGGCTCCCCTTACTGTCAAGTGGTCTCCTTACTATGAGGCTGTTGGGGGGGCAGCAGCAACTCCCTGGACAGCCTCGGACGCAGTTCTGGCGGAAACCAGGCCCCTCCCGGGGTGGGGTGCATGTGGGCGCACTGGATACTGGCCGTGGATACTTGTTCCAGAAATGACAGCTTCTTGGGGTACATTGGCCCAAGATGGGGTGATGGAGGGAGGAGGGTGCCTAGATCTGGATCTCGTGTGCAGCCAGGGAAGGCTGTGTGTGCATGCATGCGTGTGTGTGTGTGTGTGTGTGTGTGTTTGGGGGGCCCGGAGGCCAGGCCAGGGCTGCAGGGATCCTTCAGGCCCCACCGTTGAAGTATCTTCTTCTTTGCTCCCGAAGCCCAGCTCCTAGTGGAGACGGACACGTTCGGCAGCCAGGTCCGGATCAAGGGCAAGGAGACCGAGTTCTACCTGTGCATGAACCGGAAGGGCAAGCTCGTGGGCAAGGTGAGTGTGGGCGGCCGGGAGCGTCCATCCTCCGTTTTCTCCCTTTTCTGTTTCTTTGGTGTTTGGGCCACACCCAGAGATGTTCAGAGCCTACACCTGGCTCTTCACTCAGGGATCATCACCCCTCGTAGGCTTGGGGGACCCTACAGAAGTGCCAGGGAGAGAATGTGGGTTTGTCTCAGGCCAGGCAGGTAGGTGCCTCCCACGCTGTGGTATCTCCCTGGCCCAGTTCACCCCAGGGGGCCCTGCGTCTCCCGCCAGGCCCAGGTCAGCCTTGGCTGTGACTTTGAGGCTTTTTTCTTTTTTGGCTCAGTGGGTCACACCTGGAAATGTTCAGAGGTTCCTCCTGGCTCTGCACTCAGGAATCACTCCTGGCGGTGCTCGGGGGGACCATCTGGGCTGCCGGGGATGGAACCCGGGTCGGTCGCATGCCAGGCAGACACCCTCCCCCGCTGTGCTATTGCTCTGCTCCCCTGAGCTGTGACTCAGGGAGCGGGTGCGGGCCCCCGTTGTTTCCCGGTGGCCATAGGGTCCCGGGCAGTGCATGCTGCGGTGACTGTAGCTGTGCCCGGGGTTTGCCGGAGCAGCGCCTCCGGAACCCAGCCGGGAACCCAGCCGCCGAGTCAGCGCCGGGCCCGGGCTTCTAGCGTTTCAGGAAGATTTTATTACTTTGGAACAGGCAAGAGGGCTGCATGCAACCAATTAGGGCGAGGGAGAGTTGGTGCCAGCGGTTCCGTGACTCTACCATGCTGTTTCGAGGTGTCCCCCCCTTTCTGTTTTTTAACTGGGGGGCCCTTCTTGGCGACGTTCAGACGCTTGCTTTCGGCGGGGTCCTGCTCCCCTCCTTGGAAGGACCCTGCTTCCTCCCACCTGTCCCAGGGCTGTGGAGGAAGGGGTGTCTGCAAAGCAGGTGCAGTGCTGGGGATCTGGGCAGACCGTTGCTTGGTGGTGTGCTGGCAGCCACTCCCTGCTGGGGGAAGGGGCACACTTCAGATTTCTTGCTCTCTTTTTGTTAAAGAGGGGTCTCTCGAGTGAGTGTCCAGGGGAGCGGGATGGGGGTGGAGCGCCTCTTGGTTCAGCACCAGGGCCTGACAGTGGCTGGGTATCTGTGCGAGGGGCCCCCGGGGCCGTACCCTGGGATGCATGTACCTGGGGGGAGGGGCGCATATGGGCTCGAACTGGGACTGGACCATGCAGGGCAGTGCCCCCTGACCCCTGTTCCATCCCCCCCCCCCAGCCTCCATTTTGGGTCCTGAGTCATAGTAAGGCCTGGCCCGGATGACACCCCTGCCCACCCCCTGCTGGTGCACCCAGCACCTCCTTCCTGCAGGGCACGAAACAGAAAACATGGTGCCATGGGGCGCCCCCGCCTCCCCCCTGCACCATCCCCATTTCACAGACGACAAGGCCAAGGCCTGCCCCTCCCAGGCAGGCTCCGCTCCTGCATCCCACACTCAGCTCGCATTCCAGCCCAGTCTGGAAGGAAAAGATTCCAGCTGCTCCGAGCGCCAAGCGCTAGTAACGGGCAGGGCTCTGCTCCGCGAGTGGTTTGAATTAGTGAGTCCCTTGCGCCCTCACCGGGCAAGGGGCTGGGGGCGGTGGGCGCGGGTCCCCTGGCCGGGCCCGGCCTGGCCGTGCGTCTGGGGCTCGGGTGGCGGCCCGACTCAGCCGCTTTGTTCTCCTGCCCGCTGCCCCGGCCGCCTCCCTGGCCCGGCCCGCGTCTTCCTGCTGGAAGGACGGGACGCAGTCTGCAGTGCCCGGGCCTGCCCGCCCCTCCCTCCTTGTCTGCCCAGTGGCTTCCCGGCATCCTGACCCCAGGAGGGACGGCCTGGGGTCAAAAGAGCAACTCCTGTCCCCTCGGGCCGCTCCCGCCCACCGGCTGGCCGCTGAGTCACCGAGTCCACGGGAGCCGGCCCGGTTTCCTGCCCCTCGCCCTCTCTGCTGGCGCCCAGCAGGACAGCACCCACCCCCACCAGTCTCCTTCCAGATTCTGTCTCCCCAGGCTGGAGGGGCTCCAGAGGTGCTCCCACCTCTGTCCACCTACCCCAGAGGTGCTCCCTCCCACGCCTGCCCATCCCAGCTGGCCTCTGCTGCCCCCGGCACCCTTCACTCTCCCTGGCTTCTGCAGCAGCCTGAGTGTCTGCCTTATCTCAGCCGGTCCACCAGGGCAGGGTCCCCCAGACCCTGGGGCTGCCACCCCCCCCACCGGCCCCTGGACAGCAGGTGCTGCCCACGTCCTTCCCTCACTCCCGGGAAGTGGGGCCTGAACGAGCTGACACGGGTGGGAGCCTGGGGTCCCCGCCTCAGAGGTGGTGCCCATGTGGTGGTCAGGGCAGCAGCCAGAGAGGGGCATGGGGGTGGCGGCTGACCCTTGTTTGATCCCTGGCACTGCAGAGGGTTCCCTGAGTCCCGTCAGGGGTCACACCCGAGCACAGAATCAGCTGGCCCCAGAGTACTGCCAGATGGTACCCCCTAAAGCTCCCCCCACACACAAAAAAAGAAAGTTGCAGAACCTCTGCCCCATTGCTCCTCAGAGAGCTGGCGTCCCAGGCTCCATCCCCTGGGTTCTTTGCCACCAGGGGCGGGGCCCAGCCCCACCTGCCTTCCTGGTCCCTATGCCATAGTAGGGATGCCTTTCTATGGGGACTGCCCTGTCTACTGCAGGCCCCTTTGCTTCTGGGCCTTAAAGCCAAGGCCTGCCCACAACCCCACCCAGGGCCTGCCCAAGGCCCAGTCGTTGCCTGCCCACAGTCTGTCATGGCCCCGTCCACAGCCTGTCCACTGCCCTGCCCGTGGCCCCATCCAGACCCTCAGCCACGGCCCTACCCACAGCTTGCCTACCACCTGCCCATGGCCCCTCCCATGGCCCCCACAGCCTGTCCATAGCTTCAGCCTATGGTCATGGCCCTGCCCATAGCCCCGCCCACAGCCTGCTCATGCCCCGCCCAAGACTCCAAAGCCCCGCTCACAGCCTGTTCACAGTCCCACCCACAGCCTTCCATAGGCCCGCCCACAGCCTGTTCACGCCTCGCCCACAGTCTCTCACAGCCCCACCCACAGTGTGTCCACGGCCCCGCCCATAGCTCCACCCACAGCCTGTCCACAGCCCCGCCCACAGACTCCCACAGCCTGTTCACAGCCCCGCCCACAGCCTGTCCACAGCCCCCATCACACCCCCTCCCCACACCACACAGCCTGCAGTCCCCCCTTGTGCTCCCGGATTGGCCATGTGTGCTGTGTCCCGCCCAGGCTAGGGGCATCCCTTGGAGGTCTGACTCTGTGCATCAGTGGCCCAGGGGCCCCCCAGACAGAAGCTTCTTGCTTCCTGAGCTCAGACTGCACCCCCAGCATGAATTCTCTGTGTCAGGCAGGAAGCCCTGGTCCCAGACCCTGTCTCATTGCCTCATCTGTGCAAGAGATGACAGAGGGGCTGGCGGGGCCCCCTGCACCTCTCTGGTCCTCACTGCATGTCCCTGAATGCCCTGGCTAGCTATCCAGAGGTGACACAGTATCTGCTCGGGGCCTTATTCCCAGGTCGTCCACGCAGCACCCCCTCTCTGGCACCCTGTCACTGGGTGTGACCCGGAACAACCAGGCTGTGAGGGCGCGACATTTCTCTGTCTCCTGTAGGGAAAGCCCAGGGCTGGGTCCGCTTTCAGATCAAGATTGGGGACTAGGCAGCACACAGGGGTTAAGACGCTTGCCCAGCCTGGTGCTGCCCCTGGTTTGACCCCCAGCATTGCACGGGTCCCTAGAGTCCTGTCAGCAGTGAGCCCTGAGCACAGAGCCCGGAGTAAGCCCCGAGCACCGCAGACAAAACACAATTAAATCAAGATTCGTCTTCAGAGCAAGTAGGAAGAAACAGGACTCTGATTTGGAAAGGAGAAGGTGCGAGTCCAATTCTACAGAATCCCTGAGGGTCTGGGATGCCAGAGGAGTTGGCATTTTCCCGGGATTTGCGGGGGCTGAGAGGGTCCCAAGCACAGTTTCTGAAAGCGCCTGGCTGCGACCAGGGCCACGGGGAGAATGTCAGGGAGCTCCCGGTGGGCAGCTCGGAACGGCGGAGCCCTGTGGCTCCCGGGGGTCCTTGAGCCTGGGGTCCTGGGAACTGCATTCCCGAGCCAGGATCCCCTCCTCCTCGCTGCCCCGCTCCTGCACACAGGCCCCAGGCTCCCCCCACAAGGCTCCTGCATAGCTCCGCTCTCCCCCTGGCCTGTGAGTGTCCCCGGCCTGCTCCGTGGCCTCCTGGAAACACCCCTCCACCTCCAGAGAATGCTTTCTTTCCCTGCCCGCCCTTTCTGCAAAGTTCAGCACTTTCTCTGCAAGGCCCAGGCTTGCCCTCTGCACAAAGGTGAACGTTCCTGGAAGCTCCAGCCCGTTTTCCACTTCAAACAAAAGGCTGGAACTCACACCTCACCTCCATGCACGGCCAGAGCGCCAGGCTTCCAACTTGGCCGGGCGGCCGTCCGGAACGAGCCGTGGGGCTGGCCTAAATTTGGAGATGTTCATTGGAAACTCGAGTGTTGCCGACTCAGCCCGGCCAACTCCCGCTTTCCCACCCTGCCACCTGGGGCTCCCGGGCTGTCTCAGGGAAGGAGGATCTCTGATCTCTGCCTTCTAGAACTCCTTGGGGCCGGAGCGGGGCGGGTGCTTGCCCAGCCGGTTTTCATCCCTGGCACCCCATGGGTTTCCCCCACCGAGCCTGGCAGGAGTGATCGCTAAGTGCATAGCCAGGAGTAAGGCCTGAGTGCCACTGGGCGTGGCCCCCCCAAAACCAAACCAAACAACCCACCAGCAGCACTTGGGGTAGAACTGCTCTTCAGAAACAATGTTGCAAGTTCCTTACTAGGCAACAGGCTCATTACCATGCCTGCCTCACCCTTCTGATGCGGGCATCATGGTCCCGATTTCAGATGGCAAGACCAGGCAGCCTGAGGTCCCGCAAGGCAGCGTGCGAACTGATTTAGTGCAGAGCTCCCCAGTCCAGTGCTCCCGGCCCGGCACAGGCTCCCAGGAAATTCACATCCTGGCTCCTCAGTTCCATAGCTGGCAATCTCGATTCCAAAGGCACTACTGGAGGCCGGTCATGGGAGAAGTCTTAGGTGGGGGACCCTCCGGCCCCTCAGTGGGACAAGCATCCTAATGGGGGCGCTCCTTTAGTGTTGCAAGTGAGAACAGACGGGAAGGGGCTGACAAGGCAGTCAGGGCGCCGAGTGGAGTGGGGTTGGGAGCCCAGAGACTATGACCGAGTGTTGCTCTCTTTCCTCTCCTGCCCTGGGTCTTTGGGTCCCGGGGGCCAGCTGGTTAGGCCGAATCCTCCCTCATGGTGGTGACAAGGCTGCCTACGTTCCCAAGTTTAAACCGAGAGCCCAGTTTTGGGGGACGCCGCTCATCCCCGGGGCCACTGGATGTCGGGTTTTACTGGCGGATCTCTTGGTAGCACGGGAGTGGAGAAGGGGGACACGGGACAGAGCCTGGACAACTGCTACATAAATCGAGGGTAGGGGGCCGGGAAGAATGCAGGGGCAGGGTACACAGTTCCTCTCCAGCAGGTAGCTAGTGGCTTCTTGGGGCTGCCGCCCCCCAACCCAGTTCTCCCCCTCCCCCTCACTGCCTCTCCTCTCTCCCCTCCACCCCATAGCCCGACGGCACCAGCAAGGAGTGCGTGTTCATCGAGAAGGTTCTGGAGAACAACTACACAGCCCTGATGTCGGCCAAGTACTCTGGCTGGTACGTGGGCTTCACCAAGAAGGGCCGCCCCCGGAAGGGCCCCAAGACGCGGGAGAACCAGCAGGACGTGCACTTCATGAAACGGTACCCCAAGGGGCAGGCGGAGCTGCAGAAGCCCTTTAAGTACACCACAGTGACCAAGCGGTCCCGGAGGGTCCGCCCCACGCACCCCGGCTAGGCTGGCCCCGGGGGCAGCGCAACCCCCCCACCCCAGGCCACCCCGGCCACACTCACACTCACAGAGAACTGCCTCAGAGGAATATTTTTACATGAAAAATAAGGAAGAAGCTCTATTTTTGTACATTGTGTTTAAAAAAAAAAACAGAACTAGAACTCTTAAGTGGGGGGGCGCGATTTAAGGATCGTAACGATTGACTTGAAACCCCCACTGACAAGACGCAACAACGCAGAGGGACCCACGTCCAGCACCGGTACTTGTCTCTCTCTAGGAACAGACAACGCTCCAGGCGCCCAGAGGAGGGCACGAACGAGATACACGACACTCAGAGAAACCAAAGTCCTTTTTCCCAAAGGTTCTGAAAGCAAAAACAAACAAAAAACAAAACAAAAAAAACAAAAAAACAAAAAAAGTAAAAAAAAAAAGAGAACGAGGAAATAGTGACATCCTTCTTGTCCCTCCTCCGAAATCTCCCCCCTTCTCGTCCTCTTCCTCACCCCCAACTTCCAACAAAAATCGCTGTCTGGTTTGCAGTCATTTATTTATTGTCCGCTGCAAGCTGCCCCCGAGACTCGCGCAGGGGAAGCGTGCGCCCCGACTTCCGACGACAGACGCCTCGTCCAATCACGGCGACCCTGCATGGCTCGCGGTTCTGGCGGATGCTGCTAAGGCCCCCCCACGACTCACGTGACCTAGTACACCAATGATAAGGGAATATTTTAAAACCAGCTATATTATATATATTATATATATATAAGCTATTTATTTCACCTCTCTGTATATTGCAGTTTCATGAACCAAGTATTACTGCCTCAACAATTAAAAACAATCGACAAATTATTTAAGACACCCTGAGGTGGAGTGGGGCCCCCAGGCCCCTGTGTGCTCGTCATTCTGTGATCTTGGCTGCGCCGTGACCAGCCCCCGCTCCTTCCTGCCTGCCTCCGTGCGTGCGTGCGTCCGTGCAGGCAGGCATGCATGCATTCATTCATGCATTCATTCACTCCTCCCCACCTCCAGCAGAGCATTTAAAAGCCCTTGAATGCAGAGATGAACCGGCCCTTGAACAAGGTGTGGTTTACACGTGTTTGCCCCCTCGATAGTATCCCTCCGATTCCTCATCAGCCCTCTGTCTGTGGGTCCTGAATGCAGGGGTTGGTTGAGTCCTCGAACACTGATGTGGTGTAGACAGAAAACCTGAGGATAGGGCCGGGAAGGTAGAGCAAGGGCCAGTTTATACATTTTGCATGCAGGAGAAATGGGCTTTATCCCCCACACCCCTTTGAAAATGATGCCAGGGGTAGCTAGAGGTGAGGGGTGCAGGTGAGGGCGCTCTCTCTGCCTACCTGCCACCCCACCCTCTGCCTAGGGCCCTGTTCACACACTTCTGGGTGGATCTGGACGATCGATCGAGTCGGGGCACAGAAGCCAGTTCTGAATGGCTCCCCAGGCATGATGAGCTCGTGGGACAGGCTCGAGTGCCCTAGAGTGAGGGGTGAGGCGGTTCGTTTTACAGATGGGGAGACTGAGGCCCATGGAAGGTGGTTGGTCTTCGAAACCACAGACAGTCTCAGCCCCACAGGCACCCTGCCCTCCCTGTCCCATACACCCCTCCTCTGGCAGCTCTGAAGTCTTGGTGGGGGTGGGGGCCTCTGTGCAGAGGGGAACAGGAGCTTCTGGAGTAAATGGGGGTGTCTGGCTGTGGGGTTCCTGCCCACCAGGTGACTCTCACTCCCCAGGATGCCCCATTAAACAGGCAGAGCCCCACAGCCCCCTTCCTGAGGAACAATGGTGAATGAGGTGCTAAGGACGTGAAGGCCCCCCTCTCCCCAGGCCTGCAATTAGCAGAGGGTCTGCAGGAGGAGTTAGGTGAGGGCTGGGGACCAGATGGCCCTGAGGCTCATCCTGGCAGGTCCCCCCTGCCGTGCACACCCTGCTCAGGACCCTCATTAGTGCATGGACTTTCTACTCACCTGCTCTGCTAGCAAGCAGAAGGCCTGCAGCCCAGGCTGCCCTCCTGGCTGGCTTCAAGTCCAGACTTTAGTCTCTGTCCCGCCCCCACCCTGCCACCCCCAAATGCACTGTTGCACTGTCCTCCCATTGTTCATAGATTTGCTCAAGCGGGCCCAGTAACGGCTCCATTTTGAGACTTGTTGTTACTGCGTTTGGCATATCGAATACGTCAAGGGTAGCTTGCCAGGCTTTGTCGTGCGGGCGAGATACTCTCGGTAGCTTGCCGGGCTCTCCGAGAGGGGCGGAGGACTCGAACCCAGCTCGGCCAGGCCAGCTGCGGCTATGTGCAAGGCAAACGCCCTACCACTGTGCTACCGCTAATTGCCATCTTCTGAGTACCAGCAACTTTGTTTGGAGGGGGGTGGTCGAGGGTCATTCTACCCAGTTCTCTTAGCGAATTCTCTCCCCTTCCCTCGAGGAGAGGGTTTGTTGGGTTTGGGGTTGATGTTGCTTTGGGGGCCATGCCCAGCCATGCTCAGCAGTGCTAACTCCTGGCTCTGTGCTCAGGGGTCACTCCTGGCACGGGATCAGGGGATCGTATGGGGTGCCGGGGGTTGAACCCAGGTTGGCTGTGTGCAAGGCAAGTGCCTTTTCCACCGTCCTGTCTCTCCAGCCCTTATCTGTATCCACTTGGCTGTCTTTACCTGCCCGTGTGCTTTGCTGGCGCGTGCGTGCGTGCGTGTGTGTGTGTGTGTGTGTGTGTGTGTGTGAACACCCTCCAAACCCTCCATCTATCTTCCCTTGCATGTGTGTATATTGCTCTCTGTCATCTCCCTGCCTGTCTCTGCTTCCCTACCTCCCTGCGTCTGTCCTGACTTCACAACTCTCTCTGACCCGTGCATCTCTCTGAGTATCATCTCTCCACCTTTCCTCTATTATCCATCCATCCGTCTGTCTGTCTGTCTGTCCACTCCTCCCTCCGTCCCTGACCTGTCCACCCACCCACCACACCGGTGTGGGTATCTCTTTCCAAGGCCTGGAGAAGCACCCTGGGAAATAACCAGAAACAACACAAAACATAAGATAAGAGGACACCATTTGCAGGACTTGTGCTTTTCTTCATTGTCTTTGACAACTGTCTAATCAGGTGTCACGGCCCCTAAACTGTTCGGACTCTCAAGCCGGACCCCGAAGCCCAGAGAGCTGTTGGCTCACGTTGGCTCAGGCACGACCTGCGCTTTGATTGCAGTTTATTTCTTGTGTTTAGTTCTTGGGTCACACGTGGTGGTGCTTGGCCGTAACTCCTGGCTCTGTGCTCAAGGGTCATTCTGGGCAGTGCCCGGGGACCCGGTGCGATGCCAGAGATGGAGCGGGGTCAGCCGCGGGCAGGACCCCCGTACTACCTCTCAGCCCCCTGGATCTGATCTTTAAAGAAACCAACTCATTTTGCCACTTGTCATCAAACAGTTTCTTGGGCTGCTGGTGCCAGCAGGTGTTCTGTGTTGCGAGGAGACAGAGGGCAACCGGACCGCCCGTCCGCAGTTGCCAGCAGCACAGAAGAGATGAAGAAGGAGAGTCAGGGAGCGCTTCCTGGAGGAGGAGGCAGAATGGGAAGGGGTGTTTATGGAGGGGAGGCAGGGAAAGCCTTCTAAGGGAAGCAACAGCATCTGCCAACACCTCATCTCCCCTCTCCCCAAATAGAAACAGGTTTAGTGGGGGGTGTTGCAGGGGGCTGTGTGGATTTAAGATTTCAACCCAGGTTTATTTTGCTGGAGACCAGCAGGATTTGTAGCAAGTGTCTGGGACAAAGCTCGTTCACCTCCACACCCTTGGAGGACAGACCTCCCCCCATCCCACCCCCCCAAGTCGCTTCCACTTCCTTCCCTCCATTCACCCACCTGCATACCAAGGAGGGCTGGGGGGACCGGCAGGAGGGGGAGCAGCTAATTCAGGAGTCAAGGGCTTGGCTTTTGTCTCCCTGGCAATCCCAGGCTGGCCTCTGACCTCAGCGGGAGGCAATTAGTGTTGGGTTTGAACTTCTGCCTCCCCGGGGCTGAGTCAAAGCCTTTGTGTTCGGCTACAAGTCATTGAGGTAAAAGGGTTTATTTAAGCAAACGGAGGAACCTGGGCCCCTTGGTGAATGGGCCCACCACAGCCGCTCTCTTTGGCTCTCTTTGTCTGCTCCTGCTTCGGCTTCCCTCTCTCCTCCACCCCTTCCCTGCAGCCCTGGCAAGTCCCTTCACGACATTCCAAGTCGCAGGGCAGGCACAGGGGTGCCCCCATCCCATGGCGGGGGCTCAGTGCCCAGCAACAGACTCATGAACAGATAAATTAGGACGCGATCAGCGCTGTGGTAAGGGCCAAAGAACTCAACAAGTGTAGACAGGGGCTGGAGCGATAGCACAGCGGGGAGGGCGTTTGCCTTGCATGCGGCTGACCCGGGTTCGATTCCCAGCATCCCATAGGGTCCCCCCCCAAGCACCGCCAGGAGTCATTCCTGAGTGCATGAGCCAGGAGGAACCCCTGTGCACCGCCGGGTGTGACCCAAAAAGCAAAAAAAAAAAAAAACAAAAATAAAAACAAGTGTAGACAAAGGCGGGTGCGGGTGCCCTTGGAGGGAGCCCCATGGCAGAGAGAGGTGACTTCAGTCCTTGGCTGGGCACAGAGCTTTGAGCTCCCGCCTGTCTTTCTGCAGGTGTGTGAAGCCCCAGAGGGCACTCCGGAACCTGGAAGCACGTTTCCAGGAAGCGGGCGAACCTCTCAGTAGAGAACACAGACTTGATTAAGTTCCGCTGTGCTTGGGCCCTGCTCTCAGCCTCAATGCTTTGAGGCTCGTGGCAAGGACCGCGCTCCCCGGCTCCGGCAGGGCCACGTGACCGGCCCAGCCTATCAGCGAGGTGGGGGGTGGGACACCGCTGGGCCACGTGACCGGCCCAGCCTATCAGCGAGGCGGGGTGGGACACCGTGGGAGCTTTTCTTGGGACGTTCCCCAGACTCCGCCGGTGCAGCCTTGACCCTTTGGCGGAGTCTGGCGAGGAGACGGCGATGCCAGGAGCAGTGGCAGCCACTTTACAACCGTGAAAACTCGCGGCGGTGCTGCAGACGGCGGAGCCGAGGGTTTTGGAAGACGCGAGGCCTCTCCTGCGGGTAACAGGGTGCAGCTTCAGCCGGGCTCACCCCTGGGTGCCTCGCTGGGTGCTGAAG